AATTTTTTTAAAATATGATAATTTATTTTTTTTAATAATTTAATTAATTTTAATTTTTTATATTTAATTTTATGAATATGTATTATGTATATCTATATATATTTATTTTCGAGCGAATTCGAGCCGAACAAGAGCGAACAAACTTTTGTTCGTGTTCGGCTCGTTTACCGAGCTTAAAAATTTGTTAGTGTTCGGCTCGTTAGGCTTAACGAACGAGCCAAACACAAGCTGCTTAACGAGCCGAACACGAGCTGTTCGCGAACAACGAGCCAAATTGACAGCCCTAGATATAATCGTAGTGCCTGGAAGGTGGAGTAGGAAACACCACTAGATCTTTACCCCACATTACACTTTTTCTGCGAAAATGTCTCCTGCTATGCTGCTTGATGCTTAGTTAGATAGTTAAGTTGATGCTTGTTTTGCTGGGCATAGTGGTGTGAGTGCTTAGCAAGATCATGTAACTCTCATCACACAATGAGAGTCCTAAGAGAGTGTATACAGATGCTCTGAAATCGAGACAATCAAAGCAGTGGGTTGAGGTTGAGAAGAGGTAGGCGTGAAAGAACTCTTGCCTCAAATGAGATCCTACTATACACGTCCCAATATTCTTCTTTCTGATGGGCTTCAGAGAATGCAACTGCTCTTCCCAGTTTTCATACATGACTCCCGCCTTCAAACAAAGAGCAACAACTACGGAAGAATGCCCCAACCCAATGACACCCTTAAAGTGTTAAAAATGGAATTATTGATCCCGAAACTGACTTCTATAGAAAACCGCAACTGAATAAAAGAATTCAGAATCGCTCTTTCTCTAGCCACCTGACTAAGATTTTTGGGAGGTAGGAGTTTGGCCGAAATAAAATAATGCCAAGCTTTACACTCGACATTCAGGGCAGAAGCAGGAAGTTGATTTTTCTTCCATGCCGAATTCTTCACTCACCATGATTTATCAGGCAAGAATCCAATATCTCATCTAAATCCAAATCAGAGAGCATGAAATTTGAAAAGAAATCATTTGTAATATTTGGAAGGCCAAAAAGTGAATTGATTTTCGGTAAACTAAAATCCACCTGTTTCTCCCCAACGAAAACATTCTCCCCAACGAAAACATTCTCCCCTTTTTTCTCCTTCAGATTTGCAAAAAATTCTCTTATCACAGTTATGACAGCTACCCCCATTTCGTATCACAATCTCTCCCGACCTCTTTCATTAATATGGAGGCTCTGCAATGCAAGTTATTGAACCTTGATTAAAACTTAAACTCCATTTTATGCTTGTACAATTCATGCTTCTATCTTGGTACTCCATATTATACTTCTACTCTGCAAGTGATTGAACCATGATTTCTAAAATGGAGTATCACGAGGGATGATGATGCTGGAGGGGTATTTGTCAAGGGCGATGGTATTTCATAACAGCCACCTGAAACCTCACGATTCCTCAAGTCTCTTGTACTTTTCATGCTTTCTTTCATTGCCTAGAGAAAAATCCATCGACTACTGATAAAGGAAAAAGACTATAAATATGAGGCTAAGATGTTTGCACTATTTTTACTCTAGTATTTGAACTGGAATATTGCCCTCAAGTCTTTTAATGGTAGAACTAGTCAAACTTGTATATTCCTTGCTTCAGGTTAATCTGTGGCACTTCCTTTGTTCCTGTAGAACTTTGTGGCATACTACTTGGGAATTATGTATTGCTTCTGATCTACAGGTTATGTTTCTTAGTTGCGGAGGTTTGCCTCGTTGCTGGATCAGCAAGGAATGCTTATCACACCAAGTATATCGGTTACTATGAGAAGAAGGATTTGACATCATGTATCGCCCTTCGTAAGGGTGTTTTTGCGGCAGCAGCTGGCTTTGTGCTGATTTTATTTGCATCATCTTTGTCATTCTACTGGAACTATACCAAGGCGGATACAGCAGGATGGGTTAAACACCAAAATGAGGGTGTAGGCATGGCAGAATATGGCCATGATAAGGGTGAGCTTAGAAGCTCCAATGTGTGAAATGTTATGTCATGCTAATGCCAACAATTGGTGATCATAGCGCCCTACAATACAGATGGCAAATAGGATCTCTTTAGTTTCTTTGTAGTCTTGGAGTTTGTGATTTTTGAAACAAGATGGAGAGCTTTGTTGCACTGTATGCGATCGCAGCAGTACATTTTGAATGTTTGGTTAGAATTTTGATATAGAAATATTTTGGTTTGTGTTTTTAATACTTGAATGATCATGTATGTGTGTGTCTGGAGGCTGAGGATGCGTTGATACACCTCCGCATGATTGTATTTAATGATTGCTTGAAAAGTGTTGGCTGTAAAAGGTTTTTTTGCTGGATTTGTTTGTTTGGAGTTGAGACATTTCTTTGGTGTGTCTTTAGTGGCTTTGGATCTCAGTTGAGTGCAAGATCTTTAAATTAATTAGTTGGAAAATTTTTTTATCATTGATATTGTCATGTTTTGTTAGTTAGCTGTTTAAATTTAATGGAAATTCAAGAGAAATGAGGTAGAATATTTAAAAAAAATAAATTGAACATTGTGTATATTGCATGAAATTAAGGCAAAGTAAATCATTTTTGTGCTGTCTCATAGTAAAGCTTTGGTTATTTTATTTATTTTGATTGTTTTGGTTTTGCAGACTAGATGGTGGGTTGTAACCTTTCTCATGAAGATGCAAACTTAGTACAATTGTTATTATGCTAGAAGGGATGTGTTTAAAACTTTGGTTATATAGTTTGCATGAAATGTACATGCAAGGTGGTTATACATAAAACTAAAGTGAGTATTTTTTTTTAATTTAGTAAAAGAGCTTTGTACGGCACCTTATTTTTATTCCAAATAAAAAAGAATTACAAAAAGCGGCAAGAGGAACCTATTAAACCTCACACAACTCACACAAAAACATAACACTTAAGGTTCCTCTCCCAAGGAAAGAAAAATACAATTCACTCCACCAACGAACCCAAAGAAAACTAAAAACGAGTAAATCATATTAAAGTAAATCAAAATACAGAAGATGCATAAGAATCATAGGAACATTCTTAGAAATAATAGCATAAGTAAGAAAACTTTCAAGCTTTGCAGCCCAATTAGCAACTCTGTTATCATCTCTTCTTGTATGAGTTCAGCACATAGTTCACTTTGTTGGCTAAATCCACAATCTTCTTCATTTGTATATTTATGCTAAAGTGAGCAATTAAGTAGTTTGTTATGAAATGTATGTGCATTGTCGATTATGCAATGGGTGTTCGATAATGTTGAGGAAAAAAATTTCATGAGTTGGCCCGAGTGAAAGATCACATGTGTGCATGGAGTGGTATTTTTAAAGAAAACCACATGTTTGAAAAACAATCACCATATGACTTCGTCTAAAAACGTGAAGCCACATTCACTATAACTCCCCATCTCTCTCTCTCCCTCTCTTTCTATCATATTGTCACTTCGTTGTGGGTGCAATAGGATTTATTAATGCATAGAAATTGAATAATAAAGTAAAAAAGTATGATTTACTTTTCTAATTTACTTCACTCCTAACTATAAATATTGACTTGAGAAATACAATAAAATAATGCATCATATCTAGCACCATATCTTATATGCAATCCATATAAATTGGTGTCACATGTTGAATCATTATCTTACTAGAAAAAAAATCACTTTCTGTTGAATAAAAATTTTGTGTGTGCTATGCTAAAATTGCTTGTCATTCTTATGATTCACGTTAACCCATCTCATGTACAACCGTAATAAGTATATGGACACAATATATTGATGATTAATAAAATTAGATGTACATACTAGTAAACAATTACACTCATATTTATTAATGGACCAAAGAAATTATATTCCAATAATAATAAAATAATGCATTTATATAGCTATTTTTTTCCATAACATGTTCAGTGAAAACATATGATAATTAGTTTGGGTGGGGGGAGGGGGGGCTAAGGGCATAACTAGCGATAGATAAAAACTTGTAGTATTGGAACCCATGGATGATGAAAATGTCACTATTTGTGACAATATTGCCCAACCCGCAGCTACACATATTTTTTAACTCCAAATGATTGCCAAAACTTGGCTCAAATTATATTCAGCGGCTAGTGTGAATAAATGAAACTAAATAATAAAACTTCACATTAGGGTTACTACGCAAGTATATGTATCATTTCAAGTAATATAGGATTTTCCTTAAAAACTCCAAAATCGATCCCATGAGGAAATCCCAAATTCTATACTATTGACTTGCAAAACTTCTATCTAAATTGCAGATATTAAAATAGGAAAATAATTTCGATATATCAGTAACAGTTTAACACTTAATTTATGCAGAAAATATAAAACATATTAAAAAACTGATAAAGTTTAAAAGAATAACACAATTTGAAAAACTTTAAAAGAGAGTTTGAAATATTATGAAAAGATAAAAAACTTTAAAAGAGAGTGAAATATTATGAAAAGATCTTTCCCCTTGGAAAGTGATGTTAATCAGTTTAGGAATTGAATGATGAAAAAAATAAAATGTTGTATTGTGCAAAATAGGAGCATCCAAATTCTTTACCCCCTCTCGGTGCTTGCAAAGAGCATTGGCTAACCTAAAGTCTCTCACCAGCTTGTGTAATAGTGCTGAGCAGATTCTGGCATCTCACTTCTAGATTACCCATTATGCCCTCTCTATAGGACCTACTAGGGACCCTTACGATCAAAACTCTACACTAAATTGATAAAAGAATTTAGTTTGTCGCCCAAGAAACATCAATTCTACGCTCATCAAAACTTATCTCCTTATTTATTTGCACTCCCCTCAAGTGATCGCAACGGCTTTGCCCAAGATGAAATGTGGTACTCACTAGTTGGTGAAATCATAGACCTCCCGGTTATTATGTTTCTCATCAGATTTTAACGACGTAAAGTGAATGAAGAACCGCTGAAAATACCATCAAAATGTTTTAAAAAAATAAAAAAAAATCTTTAAATCATTCTCAGCCCACAAAATTAATTCCCATATGCAAGGAGAAAGAAAGGGAACTACTCAGAATTCTTGGAGATGAAAAAAACACATAAATTGTATTGAAATCGAAGCCTTACAACAAAAACTTAAACACAAATACAAGTACTTATTTTTATGTCTTCTCCCCAAGCAAATCCTGAAGTTTCTTTGAAGTCAATCTCCAAACTCTTACATAAAATAAAGACTCTCTCTCTCTCTCTCACACACACACTCACACACACTCTCTACACACTAGAATCCAACCAAACTCTCCAGGATGACCCCAAAATGCCTCCAAAAAGACTCTCCAAAGACTCCCTTTTCATCCATAATTTGGTCCTATTAATAGATAAAAAATCACCCTTATTTCAAGCACCCTTCAAAATTCAGCAAAATTTAGAGAATCCAACCAAACTCTCCCGGATGACCCCAAAATGCCTCCAAAGAGACTCTCCAAAGACTCCCTTTTCATCCATAATTTGGCCCTATTAATAGATAAAAAAATCACCAAGGGTCATTTCAAGCACCCTTCAAAATTCAGCAAAATTTAGTGGATATTCTAGAAAGTTAGTTATCGAAGGTATATCGTCAATTTGGGCGCTATAACGCCCATTTAGCCCATCTACTAGTGCTATGGTGCCATACAAAAACATCCATTTTTGCTCCATTTTATCCTCATTTTCTCCAAATAACCATTCCATGTATCTGAAACAAAAAAAAAAAACATGCAAAATACCTTTCTTTAAAGTGTAATATCACAAAAAATAGACATAAAATGACATAAAATGTACACTAAAACAGGTTATTTTTAGATGAATCAATTCCCCCAAACTTAAACGTTACTTGTCCTCAAGTAACTCCTTTTTACTATATAAAAATTATAACTTATGGTAGTGAGTTTTACTTAAAGATTTCTATAGTTTTTTGTTAAAAATTTAAAAGTAAATCTTTTGAAAAATTTTCCATAACTCAGGTTAAAACTAAAATGTAAGAATATTTAGTAGTCAAGTCTAAGAGTTCTGATTTTCTATTCATTTTAAGAATAATTGTAATTTGTCATACTAAGGATGCTTAGAAGAATTACAAGAAAAAGAAGTTCATGAGAGCTCTACTAGTAAAGATGATTATACTTCAAAAATAAGTCCAGAAGTGTAAATAAGTATCTTTCTTTAAGATGATTCAAGTGAATCCATTTTTTTGTTAGGCATCTCCTTAAGCTTCTCCCCACATATTTTCTTTTTTGCATTTTCTTTTTCTTTAGATTTTACTTTTTTTTTTCTTTTAGGATCATTTTCAATCATTTCATTTTCTTTTCATGTCATGTGAGGATTATTATACCTGGATAGTCATTAATGATTTTGAACTCCACCATCCTCTTCTTAAAGTTAAAAATTCCCCACATTTTCTTACTTGATAAATGTGTATTAATGATATTGAACTCCACCATCCTCTTCTTAAAGTTAAAAATTCCCCACATTTTCTTACTTGATAAATGTGTATTAGCTTAAAAAGATTTTTCATAGAGTCTCAATTCTTTCTTTTTAAGTAAAAAAATCTAAAATCCTCAATATTTACAAAAATACAATTTTCTTTACTATAAGTTTTAACTAATTTAAAATGGTACATTTCATAATAATCATGAAGAAAGAGAAAAATGTAAAAGTTCTAAGTTGGAGAAAAACACATGTATAAGTAATAAAGCAGGTGTTGAGCAATAGTAAATCTAAAATTAGCATGTATAACATTAAAAGATGTAAAAGTTCTAAGTAGGAGAAAAACACATGTATTAGTAATAAAACAGGTGTTGAGCAATAGTAAATCTAAAATTAACATGTATAACATTAAAAGCACAAGTAAAATACAACTCTAGCACACTCATAATGTATAACTGGAGCAAAAACAGTAAACAATAAACAATAGATTAAAAAATGCAATACTACATTTTAATACAAATATACACCTCAATACTAAAAAAAGTACAATCATAACACTCCAACAAAAGTACAACACATAACTAAAAACAGAGAAAATCCAAATACAAGAACTAAAATAAAAGAAAAACTAAAGACCTAATCATCTTCCTCCTCCTCCTCCTCCTCCTCATCATCATCATTACCAAGATCTATAAAGAAAAAACAAAGACGTAATCATCTTCCTCCTCCTCCTCCTCCTCATCATTACCAAGATCTACATCCTCATCCAACTCTCCTCTTTGATATGGTGTAAAACCGGGGCATTTATAAAATTCCACTGAATGATTGCCCCTCTTGTATCTCTCTATAACATCATGATAAACAATATCAAATTCTACTCTCCTATGCATATACTCATCATTATGGTCCATGTGTGCTTCTAAACTCTTCTCCTGATTCAGTAATGTCAAAATATCTCCTTGTT